AGAATCTCTACAGACTCATGCATTTAGAAGGAAAATAATGTTCATATTTAGGCAATGCTAGATTTTGATTCTATTGAGGTACAAAATAATATTGTAGAAGTGTATAAGAAACTGCAATTGATAAGACTCTTACAGAAAGATGCTCTCTTGACAGTTTACCAGTATGGTTTATTGGAGGAAAAAAATTCCGATGGTGGCCCATTATTGAATAAGGAAGTATATCCATTATCTTTATCTCTAATATGGCTAATGCTTCTTTTTAAACAAATACTAAACCTGAAGTTTTTAATAATCAGCAGTGGTGAACATTAATAGTTCTTAAAATGAAAAGTTACATAGATTAAAAAGAAAGAAAACCTTATTTGTTTTAAAAAGTAAATAGTGTTATAATATTTGAGAAGTGTTTTTATATTATGCATTTGCACATGGTTGTGACATATGTAAAATTAAAAGTTAGTATAGCAGATTTAGGTAATCTCATTCATACTCATAGTATTTCTCATAATTTAACATTTTTATTGGGTTATAAAATAAAATAAGATACAAAATATGAAAATAAATAGGAAAATGATGGGGAGGAAGAGGGGGAAGAAAAGTGAGGGAGGATAAAAGAAAAAGAAAAAGGAACATTGACTACTGACCCTCTCTATTGCAGTAAAATAACAAATCGCAATAATATGAACAAGTTATTTCTATAAAGATTTATCAATCTAATCAGTAAAACCCAAAATCAAAGTTTCATTCTTTTCCGAGCACAAAGTTCAGAAGCAGTCTCCATGTGGAAATAAAAGTACTTATATTCTTTTCTTTAATCAAAACTTCAGTCAATGTTGCCATTTCAGCCAACTCCATCAACTTCTGCAACCATTCGTCCATGTTAGGAATTGAAGTGTCCGGGACTTCCGGTGGTGACATCGTGTCATGGTAGTGCAGAGGAACAGCGCTCTGTTCCTGTGCCGGAGTTTTTGTGTTTGGTGGCCATTCAAGGCAACAGTTGGTCCCGGAGGGACTAGCAGAGAAAGGGGGAACTCTCGGAGACAGTGAGCAGAGTTGTGGCTCCTAGCTGTGCGAAGAAGAGAGCCTTCAAATTGATGCAGAAGAAGCCGGCCTTATGGCAGACCCAGAGGCATGATGCACTGATTTGAAGAAGGAAGCAAAGACAAAAGACAGTACGGCAGAAATGGGCGAGTAGTGGATGTAGCTGAGTCTAGAACATCGGTGAAGATTTAACCGGAGGAGCAGCCAAAAACTGAAGTGAGCCTCTAATTGGAAAGGGTTTATCCTGGAAGACAGGTAGCAGCTGGATTTAGGAGCGGAACAGCACTTAGAAGTTAAGATAAAATAGCAAGACAGTAATAGAGGGAAAAAAAGAAAAAAGACAGGAGTATTGTTCTGTTTTGCTTTCTAGGAGAACAACTACAATATTGCTATTCGAAGATCTGTAATTTGAAGCTCCAACAAAAAAGAGACAGGTTTGATGGCCGTGAGAAGAAAGTTTGGGGGGATGACAGTGCAGACTGTGTGAGACTGCCATTGTGAGAAGATACAACAACTGAGAACTGAAGCAATAGTGAAATCAACTGGGAAAATGATATTTAACTACTAAATCTCCTATATGTTCCAGTGCCATTAGGAAAGTAGAGATTTATATTATATATGTTTTCTTAAGTTTTCGCGGGTATTTATATGTATGGTATTCAGCTTTGTTCAGGTATTTTCCCACGTCATTATAGTCGTGCTTTTAAAGTTGTAGCAACGTTTCGGCAGAAACTCATCTGCCATCATCAGGCTTCTGTATAGTGTTCGTCTGTGAGTCAGACTTTCACAGCCGTTTCTGTTTTAAATTTGGTGCTAGCCTATGCTGTGCCAGAATGGTTTTTTCTTCATCCTGATTGGTTGGGAGTCTTGGTCTGTGTTTATTGGTCTTGGAGTTTGCTGTGTTCTGCTTGATTGGTGTTTCTAATATCTTCTGTCTGTTTTGTAGCTTTTTTTGTCTTGATTGGCTGGCAACATTGTGTTTTCCTGTATTGGAGGCTTTTAGTGTGGCTTGCCTCCGAGTAAACAGACAGCTATCATTTATTAGGAAGCTAGGTTTCATCTGGGTGCCTGGTTGGGGTGTGTTTGAGCTGGAGGTATCAGGGGGTGTCTGTTTGTGCCCAGGTGTTTGCCTGGCTTGTGGTGTGGAGATTTTTTTGTTTGAGAGTGCAGGCTTCCAGATAATTGACAGTCTGGTGGAATCATCTCTTCTATTCATGCTTTCGGGTCTTTTTTCAATCTCTATGATCTGAAAGCGTTTTCTGTAACTCTTTTTCAAATGTTTTATACTCATCTTCTAAAACCTTAGTGGCTTGCCTTTTCCTAATATTCCTTTTCCTTGTATAATCTATTATCAAGCCTCTAGCATATGCCTTCATTGTATCCCATACATTCTGAATTGAGGTATCTTCTTTTTTATTTTCTCTAAAGAAAAAGGCCAATTCTTTCTCTATCCGCTGTGTGAAGTCCTTCTCCTTTAAAATAGTATTATTTAACGTCCATCTCGATCTTCTTTTTTGTCCTTTCCATTTAATTGTCACTGGATTGTGGTCTGCCCAAGTACTTGTTTCAATATTTGTTTCTTGAATATTAGATATTAGTTCTGTTGAAATCCAAATCATATCTATTCTGGACCATGATAAATGTCTATTTGAGTAAAAAGTGTATTGTTTGGTTTTAGCATTTCTTTCTCTCCATATATCTTTTAGGTTTATTTCATCTGTCATTTTAAAAAAGGATTTAGGGAGAGTCTTTCTATTTTGCTTTGTTGTTGTTGCTGTATAATCCAATTTGATGTCTGCAATTCCATTGAAGTCTCCCATCATAACTATATTAACATAGTCCAGTTCAATTATTTTCATATGTAATTTTTTATAGAATTCTTCTTGTTTATCATTCGGAGCATAAATTGCAATCAGGAGTGTTTTCATATTATTGTCCATTATTTCCACCATCAATACTCTTCCATCTTCATCAGTATGAATCAATTTTGCTGAGATGGTCTTTTTAATATATAAAACCACTCCTCTTTTCTTACATTGAGTCAAAGAAGTAAATATTTTCCCTAATTTTGGCTGGACTAACAATTGTTCATATTGTTTTTTAATGTGTACTTCTTGTAGACAAATTACATCAAATTTTAATTTCTCTAATTTATGAAAATTTTTCCTTCTTTTAGCAGCCGAATTAAGTCAATTTATATTCATTGTAATCAGTTTTTTCTCTTCCATGATTATGCTTTATAGTTAGGTTTGATAGCTCTCGTAGATCTTGGTTCATGTTGTTCTTTAGTTTCCACCTGTCCATCTACTGCGCCTTCTTCTTTTTCAGTCTCCATTTGGTCCTCTTGGAATTCAATTAATGAGACCTCTTTTTCTGCCTCTTCCTCTCTCCTTCCAAAAAATTCTGTGTAGAATAATTCTGCTTTCTCAATTGAATCAATTCTGTGTCTCTGTTCTTGCCATGTAAACATTAATCCTTCTGGAATTAGCCATCTATAATTCACCTCTTTTTTCAGTAACATTTTAGTTAAGAATCGGTATTCTCTTCTTATCTCTCTCACTTTTCTGGGTATTTGTTTTAAGACCACAATCTCCTTGCCCTTATATTTCAGAGTTTTCTCTCTTGCCACTTGCAATATTTGTGTTTTAATGGCTTTTTTTGTAAATCTGATATGAACTTCTCTTGGTAGGTTATTTCTCATCGCATATCTTGTAAAAACTCGATATACTTCATCTACTCCATCCATCATCTTCTCTTCTGTTATTTCCAAAGCTTCAGCCAATATTTCTATCATTATCTCAGCTAAATTTTGTCTTTTTTCTTCCTCTATGTTTTGAAATCTGAGATAAAATTCTGATCTGTCCATCTCCCATTTCAGCATCCCACTTTTATCTTGTTCAACCACTGTTAATCTGGTATCAATGTCTCCAATCTTTTTGTCTCTT